ATCCACCTTGTAGCGAGTGTGAGTGCCTCCTTCCTTTTATTGCTGAGCAGGTGGTAGGAATGGAAATGTTTTCCCTTTTTTCCACTTGCCTAATTTTCAACAGTGTATATTCTTCAGTTCCAAGTCTCCTGGAGCTGATGGATGAAGCTGGCAGGAAGTTCCCAGCCCCTTCCCGGAGGCTGTAAAAATCACCCCATAATCCCTGCCTCCTCCTCTGGGGTCCCAGGCGCGGCCCTGTGGTTCTGAGTTGTAATATAAAAACCCTATTTATTGCCCCTGATGCAGCAGATGGGGCAATTTCCCTCCACAGATGGCCCGATGGAGGCCCAGCACCACAGCGCTCTGCCATAGCCTGGGAAGCCTGCAGTGATGGGGCTGTGTGGTCCAGAAGCTGTGATGATGACGACAACAATGGCTACCCTTTGACTAGTGTGGGCTTTTGCAGGAGCTGCTGGACGTTGGGGTTGAGTGCATTTGGCTGAAGGAACCTCTGCCCAGAGAAAACTAAACCACTGTTTCCTGCTTTGTGGGCGGTGGTCCTTGGGGGTGGATGTCACCCCGCCCAGTGGATGCTCAGGGCCCCCCAAGGGTCATTTGCCTGCAGCGGGGCTGATTAACAGGTTGGTAAAGACCTTTGGATTCCCGGATTCCAGGGGAGTCACTCTCTCTAACATGTAGTTCTTGAAAGAGGAATGGTTCCTGGTTCCTACAGAAAAGGCAAATCGACGCTCTGTGGAGTCCTCATTCCCACAATCCTTCCTGTTGGCCCAGCATCCCCTTCCAGGAAGAGAAGCTCGTGAGGCTAATGAAACCCACAGCTCTAGAGCTGAGGGTCTTTCCCCACTCTCCAAGAGAGTGGCCTGTTAAGTGGTTTCATGTCTCTGGTGATGTCTGGTATCTGTCGTGCTTAAGAGACCTCAAACCCCATGGTTGCGGACCACAGGTGAGAAAATGTCTTTAGTAGGAAAAGGTTTGCAGATGAATACCCTGGGAGATGCCCTTAGTGGGAGTCTGAAAAGAAACTACATTTAGCTTACAACACCTCAGTGTCAGAGGGTCCACAAATACTGCCATACAACGACCCCAATGCCTGAAAAGAGAAAGAGGAAACATGGAAATCCAGCTAGGCAAGGGGTTTCACCAGGGGCCGATCCTACCCCCAGGGGACACTGGGCAATGTCTGGGGACATCTGTGGTCGTCACAACTGAAGGTGCTCCTGGCATCATCACGTGGGTGGGGGACAGGATTGATGCTCAATCCCTCACGGTGCCCAGGACAGTCCCGAATGTCCACAGTGGTGAGGCGGGACCCTGGAGGGACTGGAGACACTCACAGAGCACAGAGTGCTCTCGCATGTCTTCCCATTTCACGCTAAGATGGCTCCAAGAACGGGTGTACCCTTTTATAGACAGAGAAGCTCAGAGTTATCTAAAGATCGCCAGCCTGACATCCCAAGGTACCCCGAGGAGGACACAGGCACCCCCCCACCCCACCCCTGCCACCACAGGGCAGCTGAGCAGGTGCAGGCAGCCATGCACTTTGCTCCTGTGCACAGATGGGTAATGAGGGTTAATGTCAGTGAAGTGCCTTAGAAAGGAAACTGCCCGGGAGAGAAACACCATCTCAACTTGACGATGGACAAGAGCTAGTCAATGTGCTACAGTGAGAGTAGGGGAGAGAGAAGACCCGCCCTGGCAGCTTCCTGCAGTGGACAGCCAAGGAGCTCCTGAGGAGGGGCTCTAGTGACAGGCTGTAAGCTCTTTTCTCCAGGGTTTTACAGGCAGGAGGAACCTGGGAGACCCCCTGCCCTGCAGTCAGGTTAGCAGTGGCACGTAGGCATTTGGCCTAGCCTGCTAGGCGGCCACAGCTACCAGCACCCTCGAGGGCCCAACTGGAACCTCTGGGGGCAGCAGTCTTGACTCTGGGGGTGCAGGTGACTGTTCAGCCCTAACTGGCTGGAGGCAGCGCTGGCAGGAGAGGCCCACACCAAATGGCAAATATTTTCAGCTTTGCAGGCCAGAGGGTCTCTGTTGCAACTATTCAACTTCACTGGTGAAAGCAGCCGCAGACTACAGGTCTACATATGGGCGAGGCTGTGCACCAATAAAACTTTATTTATAAAAGTGACATTTGAGTTTCCTCTAATTTGCCATGTCACATGTTCATCTTTCGATCCCCGCCCCCCAGCTCTTTAAAAATGTAAAAATCATTCCCAGTTTGCAGACTGTACAAAAATAGCCTGTTGGACTTGCCCTGAGGGCCCCAGTTTTTGACCCCTGCTCTGGAAGGAGAAAGAATACAAAGACCTAAAACTCACACAGGCCAGCCAAATGTGCAAGTTTGGCTTTGAATGTGTTAGCACAGAGGCAGAATGACAGAAAAGGGGCAAAGGAGAGGCAGGGGCTTCCTGGGAGAAGGTAATCAGCCAATAAGTAAAATAGTCCCTAAAATCAGGAAAGTGGAAATTCTGCCCCTGGCTTGTATTCTGATGAAGGTGCTAGAAGGAATTGGCCCAAAATACAGATGGGGAGGGGTAGCTCAGGTTGGTTTAGCAGGAAAGAAGTCCTGGGATTCTCCCCTCTCCCTAAAGTCTGGCCATGGAGCTGTGTGTCCCTAAGTGCCAGCTGCCTTGAACGGCTTCCCCGCCTTTCACTGGTCCTCCCTGATGCGCCTCAGCTTGTTATGTGCAAGGCCAGGCACCCTGGTAGCCTGAACAGCTAGGGCTAGTTGTGGGGGCAGCAGAGCTTGCAAGAGTTGGGAACTGCTGCCCCATTTCAGCATCCCAAAGCCTGAGAGGTGACATCGGGCACCACTACGCATGGCTGCCCCAGAGCCAGTGTTCATCCCCAGCTGAACCCCTCCTTCCTGCCACAGGGGCCTGGGAAGTCGGGGCAACTCTGTGAGGAAGCCCCACACGGTGCCGGAATGCCAGCGCGAACCTCGGCTTGCTCAGAGAGCTGCGTGCCACTTGTTCAGTAATTTCACGCTTTGCTGCCTGGCAATGTAAGCGTAGAGGCCCAATCTAAGGCTGCACTTCCCAAATGTCACTTGTTTGTGAACACATGGCTGAACCAAAAATTGCTTTTAATGTCTGGGCAGTTCCCGCCAGCCCTGCTCAGTTTCGTCTCTGACAGCACCTTCAGGACAAGCGCGGACCCTGGGCTTATAGCTCAATAGCAGCTCTGGCCTCAGCAGGTCACGGCACACGCAGTTCCCGCGGACTCTCTCTGCCTTGAGCCTCACCATCCACGTGCCCACGCCGCGTAAGCACACAAACAAAACCACACGCCCGGGATACTTAATTACTCCTTTCCATCAAACAGGAAAACCCTGACATTCACGTCTCCTCTCTTAACGACGCTCAGGCTCTCAGCCTCTGATGATCTGCCTTTTCTGAATTAAGTATAAAAAACCCAGTGCTTTTAAATCCTGGGAGCACCTTTCCCATCTTCCTTGCTACAAAGACCATTTCCTTTTCCAAACTGTGCTGAAACAGTAAAGCTAGAGAAATAAATAATTAGAAAAACAGAGGTTAGCCAGTTCACCTAGACCAGCACTGCCCAGTAAAATATCATGCAAGCCACCTTTGTAATCTTACTGTTTCTGGTCACCACATTCAAAAAGTGAAGAGAAACAGGCAACATTAACTTTAGTGACATATTTTGTATAACCCAAGCTATTAAAAAATATCAGTCTACATAACCAACATAAACAGACTTTGACTAGATGGCTCCTGTTCTTTGTTAACCGGAGTCTTGGACGCTGTGTGTGTTATACTCACAGCTCATCTCCATACGACTGGGCCACATCTCAAGGCCACAATACCCCAGTGTGGCCAGTGGCCATAGTACTGATCATCAAAGCCTTGACCCTCTTTGTAAAGGTCTGAGGTCCAGAAAATGGTGGATGTGTCAGGGTCTGGGTTTCAGGTACTCTCCCTCCAACACTGACGATGCCATCGATTGTCCTAACCCTGGCCCAACTGGGAACAGCTGAGTGATTCTGTGGAGGAACCCATTGCTCTGATGGGGGAGACTGGCAGGAAACACCCTGTTTTCACCCTCTATGGACCCAGATGGAGGGGCCTCTCCTGTTCCATGTGCCCCAGAACCAGAGCAAGACGCCCATGAATGCCTGAGCCTGTCTTTGCTGGGGAGAGATTGGGCCAGAAGGGGCTGAAACCCATGAGCCAGGGATGGGAGGAGCCTGCTGGCTTCCTCTGTGGTGGCCAGGACAGGCGCCAGTGGCCACAGGTATAGTCCTGGGAGGAAGGACCCCGGTACCAGCAGCTGGGAAAGGGTTGGGCCTGCTGTCGGCCTGACAGACCTCTTTCCTGCTCCCCCTTCCAAGGTTCCATCATCCCCCACTTACTGGGTGGGCCTGGAATTCATAAACCCTGTGTATATCTCATCACCTGGACCTCCAAAGACACGTCAGTCTCCAGAGGGAGACAAGCAAGTGGAGGGACGTGAGGCAGGCTCAACCCCACCCCACACCCAGCTGCTCTGTGGTCTTGCCATCTAGGGGCCTTGCACCCTCCAAGCTGTCAATCAAAACCACACAGACGGGTGTGTCAGAGCTAAGGGAATTTGAGAACAAGCACTCAGTTCAGATGTCACATCTGTTTGCCACTAATTAGTCCTCAGAGAACAGAATCGGCCAATTACTAGGCAAAAATCAAAGGAGTCTTCTCGCCTTCCAGTAACCTCCAGAGAACGTGGGGTCTGCTATGTCAGGCTTCCACTGAGAGACGGGGAGCCCCGGACCCCAGGCCTGCCCAGGCCCCAGCTGCCGCACATCCAGCTGTCCTTCCCCAAGCCTCCTCCCCATTCTTCCACGTGAAGAACATTCTGAGGACAAGTTCGCTAAGGATCCCAGAAACAGACCCTGATGGAGAGTCTGGGCCCCCAGCTACCACACAGGCCCTGGGCCTGAGGGAGTAGGCTGGGAGGGACTAGCCCTCTTTCTAGAGCCTTTCACGGGGTCTGAGGGCACTTACCTGAGTGGCCACCTTGCCGTAATCAATCCACCGAAGAGTGGCAAAATTGGTGGATTCAGCACAGTTGAATCCGTGGTTGAAGCCAGCATGGTAGCCGTAGGGAAAGGTGATCATGAACTCCCCGGCCTCCTGCGTGATCTGAGGAGGAAGAGGCCGACAGGTGAGGGGAGGTCAACAGGTGAGGTCGAGGCCCAGAGTTAGAAAGAAGGGGAGTTTGTACGTGGCTCCCCTGCTGGAAGAAACGCCTGGGCCAGCAAAGGCCACCAAGAGCAACCAAGGAGCACAGAAGAGGGATGCAGGCTCAGGGAGTTCCCAACACATGCCAGGGAGCCCCGACTTCAGGGGCCAACGGAATCCACCAAGTGCAGGTGGCTCTACCTAACTACACAAGCTCTAGCCAACTGCCCACGTGGCTGGTCAAACAGGTGTGGTGGAGTCCAGGTCAACTGCTCGCTACCAGCCCCTGCTCCCCATAGCCCAGTCCTGGCCCGAGGTGACAAACTACAGATACAGAGGGACTGTTCAGTGCCACCATTCTGGGCCACTTCTCATTTTCGGTGAGGGATAGGATCTCCCACTTTAGAGAAAGGTGGCTGTGCCGTACCTCCTATTCACTGTTCCCATATAGTGGGGGGCAGGTGTGGGAGGGCCAGATGGTGCTGGCGGTAGCTGCAGAGCCTCCTCACAGGACACGGCGTGCATGCAGTGCGGTGTCCTGCCCTAAAATGACTTAAATCCGCTCATCGTCGTCAGCCCAGAATCTGTCCACTCTATTCCAACAGGTGGGGCCTTCCAGGTGAGTCCAAGAGACAGAAGAAACACATCAACGTGGGAGGGCGGGCCACAATGTCAAGGTCAGAGCTCTGCAGAGAGCTCTGTTTCTAGACCTATTAAAATGGTCTGGAAACCAGACTGAAACAGAGACCCTAAAGTGAGGAGCTGGGTATGAGTGACTGGGGTGGGGCCCATAATGACCCCAAACAAGGCTTCTGGAACCGCCACCCCAAGGCCTGGAGGAAAAGGTGGGGGCTGCAGTCTCATCCCCCATTCAGGGAGGGGACGCTCCCCATGACCACACTGATCACTGCCTGCTACTGCTGCTGACTGAGCCCATCAACTAAGCACGCCAAGAGATGACTATGCCCAAAGACAGACCACAAACAGCAGTGGGCATCGTTCCCACTTGCCAGGACACATGAGGTGGGGCTACTGGCCCATCCACAGCTATGGAAGATGACGCTAGTGGAGTGGGAGAGACTCTCTCTGGAGTCAGGTGGGCCTGTCTCTTCTTTGATTTACCGTCAGTAGAAGGCACAGATCACAGGTTGTGAGTTCTAAATAACCGCCGCCCAGACAGGAAAAGACCCTTCCAGTATCCTGGGAACTCGGGAATCCCAGTACCATTCACGCCACTGTGCTTTTTGCCACCACAGATTACATTTCTTTCTAGGGTTTCGTGTAAATGGAATCGGATGGTCTGTACTCCTGCATCTGGCCTCTGTTTTTCGAGATTCATTCATCCCACCATGCGCATCAATTGTTCACACGTTTTGTTTTTAAAGGGCATTCTGTTGTGTGGCTATGTCACTATTATCCATTCTCCTGTGGACAGACTTTGGGGCTCTGGCGAACAGAGCTGCTGGGAACAGTCATGGGCCGGTCTTCTTGCAGACACACGCTTGCATTTCTTTTGAGTAAACAGACACAGACGAGGCACCGTGGGGTCTCAGGGTGGGTGCATGGCGACATCTCTAAGAAAGCGTGGAACCCTATTCTGCAGGGGCCGCCGGTCTGCACCCCCACTGGTGGTGAGTGACAGTTCCCTCTGCTCACCTCTCAGCTGGCATTTAGAGGTGTCTGATTTCAGCTGTGTTTGCGCGTGTGCAGCGGGATCTCCTTGTGGCTTTGATCACCTTGCTCTGAAATCCACAGAACACCACATCGTGTTGGTTCGTGCATATGTTTCCTTGTGCAAAGTGTCTATTCAAGGCTTTCACCCCTTTCTACTTATCACGTTGTTCATCTTTTTATTGTTGATTTGTAGGAGTTCTTGGGCCTGCTGATCTCTACTTTTTTCCCAAAGAGATGAGCAGAAATCAATGGATTCATTTAAGTACCAGTGAGACTTCAGACCCTGGTGGGGTAGGAGAGGGAAGTGGGTAGCAGGAGACCGGGAGGAGTGAGACTTCCAGAAACCAACCAGAGAACCAAAAATCAATCACAACTGACACAGCTTGGAGAAAAACCAGCCCTTAAGAACACTAAGATAGTTTTCTTTTCAAATAATGAATTGCACCAATCAAGAGAAGTCAGTGTGCATCAAGTTATATTTTTAAATTCCTGTCCAAGTGACAGTTGCGTGCGGGGAGTGAAGCGTGTGGCAGGAAATGGGCAGAGAACACTCGCGTGTCCCCAAGGTCCCAGCCACCCCGTCCACAGCAAGTGCCAGCTTCTGCCACAGGACTCAGAGCTTCTATTTTTTTTTTTAACGCAATTACTGAGTTTCTTATTCTATTTGAACTGTCCCTGGAAAATGCTATCTTGGTTTTCCTCCACTGCCAACTTGCACACTCCCCTTCTCTCCTCTGGGGCATGGTCGCCCAGTGTGACATGAGCTGGGACACAGCAGGGTCCCAGGGACACCATTCTTGAGACCCTGGGTGTGGGGGAGATGCCTCCACTCCAGGCTGGGGCAGACTTTGGGGCCTACTTCCCCCTGCCTGACCGCCCCCCCATCATAAGTCAAGGCCTAGAACAGAAGAAGCACTCAGTTAGGACGACAAGAAAATTATGTTACTGCCAGAAAATCTACGTCCCGGTAGCTTCATTTTGAGCTCATGGTGTCTGTCTTCCGTGTCACTACCGTCAATATTATCCTGACAGTAAATTAGAAGGTGCTAGGGATGATGGATAGGCCGGGCAGCAAAGTAATAAGGAGTGAGGGTGCGCCAGGCCCAAACACTACTCACGGAGAAAGTCCAGAATTCAGCTTCCTGTGCGAGCTCGTGCAGAATAAATCAGGAAGTCAATGGCAGCTTCCAGAAATACACACTTTTAATCATTAAAAAGCTCGCTATTGATCTGCTTTTTCTTCTAGAGGTAAATACCATTACAGAGATTTATAAGTGGAGTGTGGGAGTCACTCCTTTGAAGGCCACCTGGAATTCAGATCAGGGATCGCCAACATTAAGGAACCCTGACAAGGGCGTCCATCGGAGCCTGGAGACATGGGCCTTCGTCCTGCTGGCCTGAGGCAGAAAAGGGGACTCGCCAACCAACTCCTGCGACCGGCCTCCCTGTCTAGGAAGCACCACTTTGGAGAATGTTCTTGACAAACCACAGGAGAGCAAGTTCTCACTTTCGTGAGCAACGCCGCGATCTGTCTGCGAGGTTCCTGGTAACGAAGGGTGTTCAAACCAGCAGACATGCAGAAACCTGCCTTTCTCGGAGCAAAACATCCTGCCATCTGATGGACAATTGATGGCTGGGAGAGGCCTCCTGGTTACGGCCCTGAAGGAAAGAGCGAATCCCCGATCAGAGCACTTTGCTGTGGGCAGTTTGATTGAGATATCATAGCAATTTCTGACTTGCTGACACGCAGGCGACAGTGAGGCACAAGGGTCTGATCGCAGAGCCTGCTGCTGTGCCTGGCGAATGGCTCTTCTGGGGAAACCTTCAGAGACTGAGCTCCCAGGAGACTGCTCAGGCCTATCTGGACAGCTGTGGCACACGCCTCTCGCCTACACCAACATGGGGACACAGGCCTCGACTTTCCTGCCTAGAAGTCCTGTCCGCGAGGAAGGAACCAGCTGGAGTGGACTGCTGAGCTCGACCCCAGGGCACAGCCACCTCCAAACCCAGGCCCCACGAGCCCCACTGGGGGCCTCAGGTACTGGGTAATCTGGCCCAGGTGCCCCTGCTACCTGCCTGCCCTCCATAGGTCAGTGGGTTCCCTGACCTTAGGCCTCATTCCTCACAGCCCTTTGGTCCTGGAGCAGTAAAGTGAATGAGTTCACAGTCTCTTAGCTGTGGGAAGCCCAGATCGTTCATTTCCAAACAGGTACTCACGCTCTCAAACGACAGCTGCCCTGGGCCATGGGAGGGGTCATAGATCAAGTGGGGCAGTGGGAGAGGGGTCTGTCCGGGGTCTTGGGGTCTTCCCCAGCTTCCTGGGAAGTCGGTAGGAGCTATCCTTCCACACCTCCAACCCCGACCCTGCATGACCCTGCAGGGGGCAGCCCACTGGCCACACAGGCCCTAGGTTTGGGTTTGGATTTGGGTTTGTGAAGTGGCGGCAGGGAAAGTTAAGGCCCCACCCGATTCTGCCCTCTTCCATCCTCACCCCCCACCAGGAAGAGTTGGAGGCTGACTGCCCAGCCAACAAGGCCCTCCCCTGGATTGCCCTTGTTCTATCTAGAACCTTCTTGAGGGTTAAGAAGCCCATTTCCTGGGACGTTTGTGGTTACTTGGGCCTTGGACCCAGAAGCCCCTCCTGGAGCAGCCCCTACATACCCGGCTGAATGGGATTCCATACTTCTTGAGGATTATGGGCGAGATGAGGGTCATCTTGTGCCGCAGGAAGGCATCGCAGCCCTGGGAGCTCCCGGGGAAGAACCCTGGAGCAGAAAAGATGGGCATCAGTCAACAGGCCGAGGCTGAGCCAGGCCAACTCTCTCTGGGCAGCTGCTTCCTCCCATCGAAGCATAGAACACAGCACCTGCGCATGGACCTCATCACACAGCCCTGTGTGCTTTGCTGGTGGCAGGTGATGGTGACACTCTGGCCTTCATTTAGGCCTTCATCTGAAGCAGAAACAGGCCAGGGCTGTGTGTATGAACGGACTCACACCCACGGCACACACTTACAGTCACAGATGGGGCACAGGGTGGAGTGTGGCTGCATAGACACTTCCCCTCCAGCCACCTTAAAAAAAAAGGCCCACTGTGTTACATGCATGTGGTCACTCAGCCACATGACAGCACAGCTGGGTAGACAGGACATGCGAGCTGATGCTTTAGAACCAGACAAGCTGTGATTGTCAAGGAGTGAGTGGTGTCCCCCTCAACACAACCAAGTCTGCAACAAGGCTCTTTGCATACACGGTCCCCATTGCACCAGGAAGCTGAGGAGACAGAGGCTCGGGCCATCAACCCACCCGCCTGGGCCCCTAATCCTTCCAGGAAACAGCAGAGCGTCCCTGTCCCTAACCCTCTATTACAGAGTTCGCATTTGGGCATGATTTCTGTCCTAGACTATATACCATGCAGCTCATTTAAGGTAACATTGTAAACAGGAACTCTGACCATCAGCTCTACCTGCTAGAAACTGTTTAACACAGTTCAGGGACATTTCCAAACCACTTGCGGGCTGAAGGTCAAATTAATGACACGCATGTCTTACGGTTAAAGAAAAGCAAGTTGTGGAATTCCACTCAAAAGCAGCTGGGCTTCTCATCTCAAACCATCACCGAGAGGTGGCAAAGAGGGCTGCCATGAGGATTTGATGAGGAACGTGCCCCTGAGCGTCCACCACCGATCAAGGTTGATCTCATGTCATGGGCAGCCTGAGGACCCTTCCAGAAGCTGACCCAGATCTCAATGCACACTCTCGATGTATCACCGGTTAAAGAGGGCACATTCACGTGTGTGGGCGCGTGTGTGCAAGCACATGGCTCCACACACACGCTGACATGGAGAGAGTAGGTCCGACACATTCTGTACTAGCAGACAGTGCCTGGCTGCAAGGACACAATGGCGAGGTTCTGGAAAGTGCAAGAGATGACTGAATCCTACAACTTTCCTCTGCACTAAAAGCATTTCAATTAGAATTATGGCTGCCTGCCGCCCGGCCCGCCAGCCTCTCTGCAGTTCCTCTTTTTAATGCACAGTTTAAGTGGCTCTCATTAAAGCTCTAATAAAGGCGCACATTTTAAGTGATTAGCACCAATAATGCGCCAACACATTAATGCTCTCTCTGTGGGCTCCACAACTCTCCCAGGGAGCCCATTTGGAGAACAGCTATTCATTTTCCATATTAATCGCACACTCATTCCACCCATCTCAGTAACAAAGTCAGTGACACCTGTCCCCAACAAAGTTTGGAAGGGACACCTAGGAGAGCAGGCTTCACGTGCCCTACAACCTCCCAGAACCTTCCTCCGAGGAGGAGAGAGCAGCTGCCTGAGAAAGGGACCACACAGGAAGGCGTCACTACCTCTTTCCAACCCTCCTCCCCAGCCCAGGGTTTCCCGAATTCCGGCAGCTGCTCCACCCAGCAAGAGGAGTGACTTAATGAATCCGTCTTTTTCAAGAAGCAACTATGGGTGGCCGCCCGCAGCCCTCAGAGTTTGCTCACTCTTCTTCTTTCAGCCCCAGCCACTAAGCCCCCTACCAGCCACCCAGTTTCTCACACATCAGAAACAACACAGGTAACAGGACCCTGGCTGCAGAAGGACGCAGGGAGCATGGCCAGGTTCCAGGGAGAGCGGCGGCGGCTCCATTGGGGCTGGTTATGCCCCCACAGCATCCTGTGTTCAGGTTCTCTAGCTGTCAATGAGATAATCCAAAACCTTTCTGTCCTAGTGGGAAAAGCATACTGAGCGAGAACAGACTGGGCATGCATAACTGCAGGATTTTAGAGAAGTTGTCGGCCATGGGGTCACCCGTGTGTCCATGCTGACTGCCCCGCACTGTTTTCTCCCATGGCTCTGTAGGTGTGGGAGGCTGAAAAGAGGCCACCCAAGACGTCCCTGTCCTAATTCCCGAGCCTGAGATGATGTTCCCTTCCCTGGTGAGAGAGACTTTGCAGGTTAGACTGAGTCAAGGCCTCTGAGATGGAACGACCCTGGATTATAGGGAGGCCCAATGTCATCACAGGGTCCTCATAAGAGGGAGGCAGGAGGCTCAGAGTCAGGGAGATGGAAGAGGCTGCACTGCTGGCTGTGACGATGGAGGAGGGGCCACGAGCCAGGCGCTGGGCTTCTACAATAGAAGCTGGAAACAGTTCTCCCCTGGGGCCTCCAGAAGGACCAGCCCGGCCCTCACCTAGGTTTAGCCCCATGAGACCCATTTTAGACTTCTGACCTCCAGGACTGTAAGAAAATGAATTTGTGGGTGGTGGTTATTATTATTATTATTATTATTATTATTTTTAGCTGAGCCATCTTGCCACCTGTTGGCAGCTCAGTGGCAGCTCAGCTCAGGCCAGGAATTGAACCGGCGACCCTGTTGCTCAGAGCTTGCGCTCTTGAGTGAGCTCTTAACCAACTGAGCTACTTAGCCAGCCCTATTTATTTATTTATTTTTTAAATTAGAACTTTTTTTAGAGCAGTTTAAGGTTTACAGCAGAATTGAGAAATCTGTGCTGTTTCAAGTCATTGAAGTTGTGGCAATTTATTACAACAGCAAGAGGGAACTAATACAATGGGAAAAGTTTTTTTTTTTAAATATATTTTAAAATTAAAATTTGTATTTTAAATGTATATTTAAAAAATACAATGGGAAAACAGTTTTAATTTGGTTTTTTATTTTAGAGTGTTATAATAAGTGAAATAGATCTTGGCTAGGACTGTCTGTGACTGGAATTTCTACTATGAAAGCATGTTCCAGAGAGCAGGGCTCAGCCCTTCCCACGAGTGCAGGGTCCAGGTTTGCAACAGAAATGTTAACACAACACCACCATCCTCTACCTGGGAGGCTGGGGGTACCTGCCCCATTCACCCTGACAAGCATCCCTCTCTTCTCGGGGAAACTGTGTCACTGGGGTGTAGTATTTGTAATCATATGTGCAGCTCTGAGTGCAGCTAGGACAGGAGGCCCCTATTTTTCCAGAAAGATCCACCATTCCCTTCTCCAAAGTTAAAACACCAATGGAAAGGGGAAGAGAGTGTGTGGCAGGCGTTCTTTGGTGAGGTGTAAGGAGGGGCCAGGGGATGGCGGCTGGCAGTGAGGGATCCTGCACCAACCCCGAACGACGGCTTCCAGAAGGTTCTGTGGCTGCCTTGGGAGTGCTGGGCTACCTGTCACTGCTGCCCGGAGGGTCAGGATGATCAAATGGTCCCTGTGCTGTCCAAGTGACTCCTGAACAATGGGGTCCTCACTCCACCTGCCCCACTCCAACCTGGGTGCTGGCTCTTAAGCTGAGGGAGCGAGGGCCAGACTACTGGGACAAAGAGCAGGGTGCCGTGACAGGGAGTGATGGAAGACAAGCTACCCGGTCCCTTCGTCAGAGTGCTCAGGTACCTCAGTGCCACCGAGCCAGGTATCTGGCAGGTCCCTAGAGACCCCTTGCCCTGAGGCCTGCCTTTACCTCGAGTGGTCAATGCCCCTCTCCAGACGCAGCCTGGGACCCGCTCTGACAAATCCTTCAGCCCCATGAGGCCCCAGTGAGGGCCCGAATGCAGGTGGTGGGACAGTGGCTGCTGGAGGGGACATTCGCTGAAGGAGCCCAGTTGAGTCAGAACCTTGCACACAAGGGCAGGGGCCTTGAGGTCCCTATGCAGCTCCGAGGCCCAGGTGAGGTTGCTCCTAACTGACTTCTCGTTTTCTAGACTAAACAAAGACTTGAGGACTTAGGAAAGGGCATGACGCAGTGCCAGGCACAGGAGGGGATGCAGTGCCAGGTGCAGGAGGGAGACAGAACGCAGCTGCCCTTTCTGGCCTGTGGGAGCCCCCAGTCACGTCCAAGAACTCTGTGCTAAGAAACCGGAAAACAAGCACTTTTAAAGAAATGACATTCTGTGCAGAATCTATGAAGTGACAAACACCCTAGCAGAGGGACCACGGATCTGATCACGAGGGCGCAAGGAAATGGGAAAATAAGACAGTGACATTTTGCAGCACATCATTGCTCCCAGAAATCGAAACCCAAACATACAGCAAACCTGGGAGGGATGACAGCTGCCTCCCCACCTTGCCCCCTAACATCACCCACCCCAAGTCCCAGGTCCCAGGTCCCGGCCCACAGGCGCAGACACCTACCGATTGCCAGCCGCTCCAGGCGCTTGCCGTGCTCCGGTGGGATGGCGTACCTAACAAGAGAAGGGAGGTATGTCAGAGGCAACCGCGTGTGGCCACCACACTTGAGGGTCCCTGGGAGGCCTGTGTGGCCTCAGGGAGACACATGCACTCGTGCACAGAGCACAAGTGACTGTAGCTGTGGTCAGTGCTGTGACCCGGGTGAGCAGCAGCAGGGGGCAGGGAGAGGGGGGCTGTCAGGGTAGGAATTCCACACAGTAGGGGATGGTGGTGAGGTGGGAGGACTAAGGAATAGGGACCCGTTGAGTTGTGACAGCATTCTCGGAAGGCCAAGTGGAGACATTTCCAGTTAAGCAGCACTAAACCTCGATGAGGCTTAAAAAGCAAACAATAAAATAAAAGCACTAGACTGGAGCTGCAGGGTAGGGATCCCAGCCACCCGGCATCACCAGCCCGTCCTCCCAGCCCCAAGAGTCAATAGGGAAAGAAGCTTCAGGAAGGAGAAAAATTTCATCTTTCACCCACTTCATAAGTTTTATTTTTACACATTTTACATTTGAAAGGCTCCGTCATAAATAAAAAAGATGTTAAGGTGGAAGTTTGCAAACAGATGAAGCGAGAGTGATATCCCGCTGATGTTGTGCGGGGAAGCTGGCAGGACTGGAGACCTGGGGTGAGGGGGGCTTCGAAGCCCTAACCCAAGTGACATGCCACCCCCAGCTCATCCCAGGGGACTCGGTAAGATGAAAACCTCAATTTTCGAGCAAAGGCAGGCATAACTGGGGTGTGGGTCCTTAACGACACAAAGTGCTGAGCAAGGGCCAAGGGATGAGGTAAAGGCTCCATCTCTACAGCTATTAGAGGACACCGAGTCCCGTCTGGGAAGAAGTCCAGGAAAGGATCTCAACCAGGGTGATCCTGCCCACCCCAGGGGACACTGGGCAATGTATGGGGACATCGGTGGTTGCCATGACTGGGGGTACTCCTGGTATTAAGTGGGTGGAGGCTCAGCCCTCCACAGTGCCCAAGATGGCCCCCTAGAGAGCAGAGACCCTGTTCCAGAACCAAGACAAGCAGTACCTCGCGTTCCAGCAGGAGTGGGATGTGAGGCTGCAGCACCCAGCCCCTCCATTCCCTCCTCCTCCCTCACGGTACAGGCAAAGCACAGGGACTGACGGGAACACGGGGATCCCCAGACACTGCCACTGGCTAAGTCCACTCCAGCTGAGAGGCTTACTATCACTTTTTAATTTAAATAAAAGGAGGCAGGGGTAGGAGAGAAGTTGAGCATCATGTCGTCTCTAATCTAACAGGATAAAAACAATTCACTTCTGGGCCGGCTTTGGGCTGTTGAGGAGATGGCCATAGCACCTTTGATTCTGCTGTTGACAGACTTTTCCATCGTCTGCACAAAGATGAGGTTACTCTTTTTTAAATGGCCTTTTATCACTTACACAAAGATGATACGTTAACCCTGATCCAGAGCCCCTTTGTGGGATTACCGTGCCCCCAGCGAGGAAATGAAACATTCCGTTCCTTCTGGAAAGATGCGAGAGGGCTGGAAGGACTAACGCATGGCACCCAGGCTGTGATGATTAATGCAATATCCCCAGTCTACAATGCTGCTTTCACTTAATTACCGCCTGTAATTGGGAGTTGTAAAGATAAGATTAATTGAATCTGGTGGATGTTAAAAGTTTAATACATTGGAACGTGGCTCCTCTGTTATCAGAAAGTACAGACTGCAGGCCGCTGGTCTGAACGTTCCGCAGAGCAGCCCCTGGGGAGATTAGGAAGGACGCGCAGATGGGAAGCTGGAGCCACGGGGACGTCTAGGCTCCAATGGCCCAGAGTGAGCAGCGCCTCCCACTGCTTGGAACAACCCAGTGACGGCCTGGGGTTGCCAAGAAGCCTCATCACCAATGACATGCCACGCCAGCTCAAACCCCAGGGACACAGCAAGATGGAAACCTCAGTTTTCAGGGGAAGCTGAGCATAAGTGGGGCGCGGGTCCTTAAGGGCACAGAGCACTGAAGATGGGCTGGCCAAAGGAAGAAGCGGGCAGAACAGGCTTGGTCTCCACAGCTACTAGAGCACGCCCGAGTCTGGCCCACCTTCTGGTGCCAAGAGCAGTTCTGGCACTGTGGGCCGCAGGTTCCTACCAGGCCCTCCCTCCCACCACAGCCCTCTGGGTGCCCCGGCTACAGAGCTGGCCTCCCAACAAGGACAGATATTCGCCACTGGAGAGAAGTCCCCATACCCTGTGGGGTCCCCAGAGCAGAGTCTTGTAGGGGGTCCCATCCAGGGCCCCCGAGGAGGAGCCTGGTGCATAGTAACCTTGTCACAGTCCCACCAAGTGTCATGCCACCAGGTCGAGGCATCTGTGTCTCTCGGGCTTCGCTCTGGGAGAAAAAAAAGGAGAGGAAAGAAGGAGAGGAAGCTACTTGGGTTGAGCGAGTTTGTCCGCTAACCACTGAGGCAGGGAGCAGCTGTCTGAACATTAGTGAGCAGTTCTCAGAGCTGTAAAATAGAGACGGTTTATTGGTCACACTGGTCACATGGAGGCAGTTTGTCTCGCAACCCAGGAGATCCGTCCCCATTACAAGGTCACACGTCACAGCCAAAATCAATCCATTTTGACTGACTGTGACCCCAGGTGGCCTCTCTCTGAACGTGGCAGCCCTGGTCACCAGGGCAGCAGAGGGTTCTTGTGTGGTTTCCTTGGATAGAAGGAACTCCGGATGCTTTGGTCTGGCCCATTCCGAGTGCCCATTTGTCTCAGGACTGGGCCCGGGCAATATCCCCAGCCACTCTCCCTCCTCTAGCTTAGCCCCAGGGCCGCTCAGAACCTCCCCTGGCTCCCTCAGCCCACTCTCCACCAGCACGAGCATTTCTGTCCAGCAAGGTGGTGTCCCCTTGTGTCCAGCTACACGTCAGCCCGTGCCTCCTCCAAGGCTGGCCAGTTCCACTCCAGGCAGCCTCAGTCAACATGCTCCCCACTGGGACTAGGCAACACCTGGCAGGCCCTCCTGGGCAATCAGCTCACTCCAGGCCCAAGGTAGGATGTGGAGGGACTAAAGCCCAGCACACAAGTCACGGTGGAAGAATCTGGAGCCATCAGGAGGAAGGAACAGGACACAGAGAAGGGGGCTTCAAAGGTACAGAAAGAAACAGAGGAGGCCACAAAAGGGATGGGCTGCCTATGCTGGGTCACCCAGGTTCCTCTGGCCACAGCCCCGGCTGTGCCTATGGGGGTCTGGCTCTAAGTCAGTGGTTTACGACAGTCACAGCAGGCACCTCCAAGGGGACATGTTGGGCCACCACTTGGGACACCCAACAAGTCCTGGCCCTGAGGTTAGCCAGGGCAGAGTCACCCCTCTGGAACTTTGTCCAGGGCCATCCCCCATTCACGGGCATTTGTATCTCCATATTTAAAGCCCCTCCCTACTGTCTCTCTGCTTTTGAAGGTTTTACACAAAGTGCTTCTGGTTGACATCAAACCAGAAAGTCCTGGAAAAGTCGGTTCGTATCTCCAGCCAGCACAGTATCCCCGGCAACCAGTCCAGGTGACCCTGCAGGGACTGCAGCAGGACTCGACAGGCTCCATTACTTGGGGTTAATGTCGTGGAATTGCTGAGGAGGCTGAGAGAGACAAACCCGGGCACATTTACCAGACGCCCTTGTCAGAAAGGTAGTCATCTGCAAACATCAGGGGCTTTGGTAAGAAAACAGCATGTACTTAGATTAGAAATAAGGCTCATGTGATGCAACGGGAAAGACAGCAGCCCCTGGAACTGAGCCCCCCAGGGGGACTCGAGATGTGTGAAAAGCCATGATGCTTAAGAAACAATTACAGTCCAGCAGATTCACAGTTCAAATGACCCACCAACACACAGGAAGGAAAGAAGGAAAAGAGGGAGGAAAAGAGGGAGGGAGAGAGGGAGGAAGGAAAGAAGGAAAGAAGGACAAATGCATGCTTCAGACACTAGAACAGTAGCTGCCAGACATCCTGGGTCTGGGGAGACATGGGCTGGGCCAGCCCCAGGAAGATGGGTGTCCCCAACCTCCTATGCCTCCAGGTTTCTCTTTTACACTTACAGGTATTTGGGGTAGTGACTGCACCCCTCTCCAATCACAGCCACCCTAAAAAAAGGCAAAGCTAAAACCCACAAACCTACCCACAGGGCAAGTGTGGAGGCCTGGGCCCCCTCCCACAGGGCCAGATCCAGGGGGCGAGTGATTGTGTCTGAGACCCCTGGCTTGACATGCACGAGAGTCTGACCTGTTTACTGGAGGGTCGGGAACATACTAGAAAGATTGAATACTGGAGTAGAGTGCCATTCGGCCCAATGTTCCTGTTTTAACACCAAGGCCAGAGGGTGGGATGTCTACTAGGCCCTGCTGAGGCCAGGCTTGAGTCCAGGCTGGTGGCTCAGGGACAACTCGGGGCCCTGGATCCCAGGGGGCTTCCACCTGCACACATTATTCAGACTCCATGGGACCAATAAAGAAGCTCTGGAGCTTGTGACGCCAGGTGCATCGTGCGTGTGGGGTGTGTAGTAGCCTTGGCTGGGTGGCCAGGTGACTCTTGATGGACCTGGGTGACTAAAAGAAAATATGTCCTGGGCCGGCCGAGTGGCGCGTTGGTTAAGAGCTGGCTTGGGACGCCAGAGGACCCTGGTTCGGATCCCACATATGAGTGACACTACCTTCTACAGCTAAGATGCTGAACAACAGCTCAACTTGGAGCTGGGCTGCCGTGAGTTGCCGGCGACAGCGTAGGCTGCATCCCCTGCTGCAGTGGGCTGCCATGGGCTACCGTGTGTAGCCAGCAGCCAGCATGAGCGGCCAGCAGCCGCAGTGAGAGGCCATCCAGAAGCCAGTGATTGATCTGCCTTGCCCGGGAAGAGCGCAATGATGGTGCCAACCTGGGCCAGTGAAGCAACGTCCTCCACAACTAGACTGAAGAACAAAACAACAGCAACTTGTCTGTTCCCGTTCCCCCAATTCCCCAGCGCTGTTCCCATCCCCCAATTCCCCAATAAAAATCTTA